ACATAGGAAATAGCAAGAGTGATTACAATAGTTCCTATTGCATTACATGCATAGGAACTAAAAATTAAATAAAATCATAATTTAATGAATCAATATATAATTATTATAGAACACTAACTCTGTTCACCTAACAAAGATACTCACATTATATTTAAAATCCCTCATCAGCACTATCTACACTGTAAGAGAAATCAAGTCATTGTCAGTCAAATATAAAAGTAATCAATTAAAATTATAAAATGATGATGTCCTATTATATTACAATATAATTGTTTCCAGTATGCTCTAAAGTAACTTATCCCAAGGAAAACTTAATACCAAAATAATACTGTATATTAAAATTATTATAAATAACCAACATGGGATGTGGAATACATAGAAATGTGACATTGAGGATGGTTTTGTTTAGAAAAATAAAAATAGCAATGGGCATGCTAAAGTATGGAAGGCAATAACACACATATTAATCATAATAATGATGATAATATTAAATTAAATTTAATCATGCTCTTCACCCATAAAGTGTTTTGCTAAAAAACCTGTCATTGTTAAAAATATATATTTGTCTACATGACAAGTATGATGTGTAACTTTACACATGCATGAAGTATGGAGAGGTTATATCTTTCTGTATTACTGTACATTTTTTTGACAAGCAAAATTACTGAAGGCATTTATATTAGCTAATTACCTTTATTCTTTTTACAGAATGAAGTTTGGAAGGCAAAGTTATACCCTTGTGTTATTTAAACATGCTAATGTATGAAATGTAATTTTATACCTGTGAATTACTTTTAGTGTCTGTTGACTTTTGTTCACATTGAAGCATGAAGGCCTATTTTATACAATTGTGTCTTTTCAACATGCTAATATATGATGGAAAATGTAATTAACTATATACCTGTGTTTATTATTTTGTCTTATTTGCAATAAACAGAAAGGAAATATTGGTCAAAATATCAATAAAATATGGAAGGAAGGTAGAAATGTATACTCAGAATATTGAAAGTTTGATGATGTATATGTTGGAAATACATGAGTGCAAGGGATGAGAAATAAGCATGTGGAAATGATAAGCAAGAAATTTACTATTCTCACATTTCTCACATCACATTGATATGGGGAGTTGGACCCGAATGGAATGTTTTACTTTTTTGACGATTCTTTTAGTCTGAGTCGCTGTGTTTGATCTTTTTTTTTGGGTTCATTGTTTTGAATCTGGTTAATAAAAAAATTCAATAAAACAAGCAATCACAAGAGGGAAGGACATGTGAGATATACACAAGTGGATCTGCAAAATACCATAAAATGTCTAATAATAACACTGTTACTATCCCTTGACTGTTTTTTAGGGTGGGTTACCAGGGGTGAACTTGGAGGGGGTCTCTGGGCCAGACCCCCATTTTGGGAGGTTAAAAAAAAGGGAAAAAAAGAAATAAAGACAAAGAAAAAAATGATTGCACAAAACGCCTCAGAGGTTATTTGCGGGCGTCTAGAACACAAACAATTTTGTTATTATTATAGATTAATTTCTAGGCTGGTTTACAATTAGAAGGGGCCATGGGTTATTATTAGCATAGTGGGTTATTATTATAGATTAATTTCTAGGGTGGTTTACAATTAGAAGGGCCATGGGTTATTATTAGCATAGTGGGTTATTATTGTAGATTAATTTCTAGACTGGTTTACAATTATAAGAGTGTTACTAATAGAGTAATGGGTTATTTTCAGGAGTTTTATGGTACACATCCTATGAGATTAAAATGTACGAGTCAACTGACTTGTTCATTTTTGATCATTTTTTTTTTGGGGGGGGGGGCTGTTAAATGAGCATAATTTCTAGCAGTACTTTATATATTATAAGTAAACCACTTTATAAGCTATAAGTAAACATAATACAACTAAATACAAGACCAGACATGCTAACAAAAATACAATCAACAGCTAAGATTCTAGGAACCATGTACAATGCACCTGGGTTAATAGAATTGAAACAAATACATTTTTTTGTATCAGCTGGTGCTGTACACTTGTCCATTTTTTAAATTTTTACCTAAAAAAACGTTTTCCTCACTTTGACTTACTCCGTTCCTCCATATCAATGGCAACCATGTTCTTGGAGGCAGTAATTAGGTGCACAAGGCTGATGAGCGCCTTCACTAACATGATGGGCAGAGAGATGTACATCAACAAGCGAAACAGACCCATGTCAAACAGGACTACAGAAGAAAAAAACAACAGTAGACAAACTCCAGTGTATTATCATCAACATCAACACAACCAAAATTAACATCAATACCATAATCATCCCCATAATTTTAGATTTATTGGCGTATTTAGGCCCCACAAAAATACTCCTCAGTTCAACCAAAAGTCCCACTCAAGTAGTTAAAATTCACCTCAAACAACCTTATTCTGCGAGCTGGGATTCCTCA